ACACATGCGCTATTCAGTGAACATCAATCATATTCAGATATCCCATGGTAGAATTGAGATTACATTTCAACTATCGGCATACTATATCAATAGCAGGTCATATAAAATGAAACAAGAACCAAACATGTGAGGCTTGAAAGAAAGATACTTCAGCGTTAAATGAATACGAAAATAATAGACTTTAGAATTCTCTGAATAGAACGAATACGAAACAACAAATCAATATTGAGATCATTACTTGTGTTGAAAAGAGATAAAGTAGTGACGGTACTCATTTTTATCTCTAGTGAATGAATAATCATTTTCAAATTCATCGAAAGTAAAGAAACACATAGTATAATTCTTCAATAAATAGAAATTCGATATTGTTTCAACGCTTTCTTACGTATTTAATTGTTCTCAAAAAAAGTACTCTTTATATAGTGACGGTGGGACACAATGTTTTTAACGACACATGTATCGACTCTGCCTAACATTGTCAACTAGTTTCATGATAAGAGTGTCTTACAATCAATAACTCATCAAAACAAAATTATTGCACACTCTAGTCATCTACTTTGCATGTCTTTCGATATAGAATTAATGATTCACTCGTCCATATCTATTCGAAAGCTCGATAAGTAGAGAATTCGCTTATAGGGTGAGATAATGGAGGAAGTGAGAGCCATTTTAGGGTATGGGCATGGATATGGTCGTTGGTGTAGGTGTGGGTGTAGATGCGGGTATGGGTGTGTGTGGTGTACTGATATGGTTGTGGATTTGCGTGTGGCTGTATGTATTCATTCCTTGCATAACAACAAACACAAGTCGTGCACCAGCACCTGCACACCCACACCCTCTCTGATACAAAGGCTAAATCTCTGTATTAAAATTGATGGTGATGATTTTGAGCAGTATTAGTACACGTTTTGCTCATGAATCAAATTAACAACTTTCGTCTAGCATCAGAAAAAAATCAGCCCATTTCGTTCAAACACGGTAGATATGTTAAATTTTTTTGTATCGAGACTTTTTAAACACCTTATGCGTACGTTGAAAGAGTTAGTCTAACAAAATTTTGTTTTCCTGTAGCAAACGTTTCAAGAACGTAGCCGATGGATTATGTGCATGTGTCATTATTGTTTGTTTCAAACAAATTGGATCTGGCTGAAATACTTCCGGTGGAAATGGACCATTCTTCGCATCAAAGTAAATTGTACGTTCTTCGTTCGATGTTCGACTCAATGCAGCTGGATAACATCCTGGTGAAGTCGACTCAAACAGAAAATCTCCATTCTGCCATTGATTACAAAAACCAAACGTGCTACTTGAACACGATACATTTGCAGCCAAGAAGTCTTCACTTTGATTAAACGTATTTCCATAACACCAGTCGTTCCACAGATCCAGCCCGAAGAGATGGCACGTTTTCTCATTAACATTATGATAATACTGGTTGCCTGACGTGAAATTCATCCACATGTTGTACTTGACGTGCGCTGTCAGTAGCGAAACGCGCATTTGTTCAGACGGCTGATCGTAGTAGATCACACCCGAACTGGTGTAATCAATATCTGGTATGCGATGGATAAACCATGTTTGGAAACTTGGAGGTGTGCAACAATCGTGTGGATCATTCTTCTGCTTGGCTGATCTTTTTTTATCGACGACAGATTGTGTGACATTTGTACTTTTTATTAATTGAATGTCAGAGCACTGATGAAATATTGTCCCCCGGTCTTCCTCATCTGGGTTATTCGTCAGATAACGCACTCGCAAAACGCAATGATCACATAGCTGATTTGGCAATCGAATTGGAATTGAAAAATTTGTTTGCGTGTTATGATTCATTGGATTGTAGTCATTGAATGTCACGAGCGTTCTAAAATCTTGCTCCGGAGGATCAAGTCCCAGAGCAAAAGAAATATCGAGTTTGCCAGGATTCGGGGGATAATAATGGTTCAGATGTTGTTGAAACAGAATGGTGTACTCTGTACCAGCTTCAAGAATGATTCGCTGCTTCGATGTTGAAGAATTGTAGCCACCGCAAGGTGCTATTTTTCGGTAACAATCATGTGAACCGGGAGGAGTAAGGCTGAAATTTCCACGTTGAATCGGTTGCCATAAACAGAGATGACCGAATGTTGATGACAAACACAGCAGAGTCAGTAGAGCTGCAATAAAGCTAAATAGCATTGTTGTTATTTATAGAGAAGAGAATGATGAAGAAAATGCACGCCAAGGTGGGTATATAAAGAGATGTTATCATGAAAACAATGACAAACAAAAAAACGTGTATGACACTGCTGAAAGATATCCGAGTCGTTTGATGCCCATAGCTTCACCAACCTCGATGAGTAATTTTGACAGGAATTAGTGCGGTATCTTCTTCTGTGCTTATCATCGATGTCGCAGGTGGTAATGGCAAACGGCCGATCCGTTCCGATCTGGCCTAGATGTTTTTCAATTTTTCGCATATATTGTTTTCCAAATATTGATCATAGAGGCGTTTATTTTTGCATACCAAACTAGATTTATGGTATCAATGACTATTTCTATGCAGAAAAATGAACGAGAATGTTTCCATTGAGTTAGTATTCATCAAAAAATACCTAATATGTTTTATCAAATTGCTTTAATATCGAGTTATATGATCGAAACAAAATGAAATCACTATTTATCATTGTAATTTGTTACTTAGTTGATTTTATTTCATATTATTTATACAATATTTTTCGTAGAGACAAATGAAATAGCAAAGTAAACCTATGAGAGAGACACAAAGTAAATCTACAGTCAATTCAAAGTTTCTATGTTTGATGAATATATCATTAGTATGGAAAGCTAATATAGAATTTGTAGTCCTCTGAAATTTTGTTTTCATCGATAGTTGCCAAAATGGAGACAACCTATAAGAACAGATAGTGAAGAACAAGCTTTTAATGCAATTGCTACACAATTAAAGTATTGAACACGATGGACCTAATGTAATTATTTAGGAAACCCAAACGGAAAACGTTATCATCTAAATGAAAGATCATTATAAGACCAGAAGGTAGCGTATCGCAAAAACTGTTCAACAATTTCAGCCATAAAAATCTCTGTTACTAGATTAAAAGGGCATCGGCATCTTTGAAACGATTTTTGAAGTCAGTCGGAAAGATGGGAGCCAATGTGGCGTTGTGTATCTCAATCAAGAGGGAAACAACTGAGACTTCGGTTGTGAAGTCCTATAAAGTCCAGAAGTCTTTTGAAGCCTACTTAATTTTTAAAGTTCACTGTTCCTCTCTCGACTTAAATATTCAGTGAAAATCATGCTTCTCAAAAGTATTTTAATAATAACACCACATCCTTAAGTAATAGCCGTAGCGAGTCAGAGATAGGTATGATCCATAGAAAGCTTGATGTGACTCATACAAGATGAGAAAAATGAACAATTGCTCATGCCGGTCCGGTCTGACCGGTATAGACTGGTACCGATTGAAACACTGCTATTCATGTTGATCAGTGAAAAGAACAGTTGTTGCCGGTGAAGGTCCAAGGCATGAACAGTCTTGGCTTTCAAACTATGCAGATGGTGTCGCAATTATAACGGCGAGATTCATTTATCAATTTCGTTTTTAATTATTGACTCTGTTAAACGTGGCTATTGTTCACCATTCGGTGATCAATGTGCTAACATGTCGGCTGTAGTCGGTGTTAACTCGTCCGATATCATCAGGATTTCTCCCGATAGAAAACGACCGTCAAGAGATGATGTATTGTTCTATTGTATTCCATGTACAGCTTTCTACGTAAATATTTCGTCGATCATATGTCATCCCAAACGGAAAATACCTGATTCCATCATAGAGCTATTTCAACAGTCCTTACGGCCTTTCCCTTGTCAAAAATATATTTTTGTCCCCAGGCAACAGATTTTGATGAAATTTTCAAGGCATGTGTGTCGGATCGTACATAGTTCACAGCAGAAAAATTTGAGTGCACCATATTCAGTTGTTGATGATTGAATGTAACGTGAATGGCTACTGATTCAGAATTCGGCTTGGTGTCAAAAATGTACTCAACACGCATGGTTACAACTCAGCAGCGGCCAATTTTTAAAAATATTGCGTGTTTAGTATTGCGGAATCTTTTTGGAAGAAGTCCGGAAAATTGGGACTATGTCGAAAAAGGAACCATCATTTTTCTCAAAAATTAAGCGGAAAATAAAAATCCGACTCTGTTAAGTTGTAGCGTGGTATTTTTTATTCCTTTGAAACGCATCTCGAGCCTTTTAGTACGTAATGAGTGGCGCAGATTAAATGAGACCAATCTCATTTCGTTTTTTCCGAACACTTCATTACTGTTTCAAGCCTCCAACTTAGATCCATTTGATAGAAAATTTTTGGGTGTGAGATGTAGCTGGGCGTTCTCTAAGATGAAACTCCCACACCCTCACACTCGCACTCTTAAGATGCAACACAATGACGTTGACATCGAACTCATCATCAGTGAGTACATATTTCAGGTGTAGTGTGCGTGTCATTATTAGTGTAGAGTATGAGGTATGGATATGGGTGTGTATCAACGATTTCTTATCTTCACATGCATATCTATATTCATAAACCCCAGCACTTACATCAAATGCCACAATTAGAGACCCATAATCATGCTCACAAACACACCACATTTACACTCACTATGAATTAGATCTTTCTCAAATCACACTGATGGAATGCAACACAGACTGATGCGACCTCGCGAAAGCACGATCTTAGTACTACTAACAGGAACAAATAAGGTACTCTGCGCATATCGCTTGAATTTTTTTCTTTCTTTCGTCTACATTTGGAGTTTTTGCAATGAACAACCTAATTTTATTGATCGACTTTTTTCTGCTTTCTTGTCTGATGATGCGATCAGCGATATTTTCTTACAGTTCGATCGTTCTTTTTATTAAGCGTGAGTGTTAACATTCTGTTGTGTTTTTTTAAAATTGATTTCTGGTACTGATTTTGACAATTTTTCAGTCACAGAATTCAATGAATGCCTGTTACAAACTTAAAGCCTTGATAGCCATTGTTGACAATTTCCTGGCACTTTTGTCTATATACATTGAAACCGCCTATATACGGCATAAAAACCCTAGGTTTACCATCGATATTTGCTCCAACGTACCATGAATTCGCCAGAGGATAGAGAGTTGAATTGGCGACTGCGTTAACATGAAGCACCCAGTCAGTTTCTGCCTCTACCTGCGGTTCAATCGTATCGTAATGATGCGTACGAACAAACTTGAGACATTCAGTTATCCAATCGACATGTTGCTCGATAGCAACAACCATATTGGTCAGCACCGACGGACTGCCAGGTGCAGTAATAACGAATAAATTCGGAAAATCGGCCATCATCAAACCGAGGTATGTGCGAGGCCCTTCGCCCCATTTGTCTTGGAGTGTCTTGCCAGAACGACCACGTATATCAATTTTCAGCAAAGCTCCAGTCATCGCATCGAATCCAGTTGCAAACACAATATCGTTCACTTCGTAGGTTTTCTCCTGGATACGAATACCATTAGATGTTATTTCATCAATTGATCCATTTCGAAGATCAACAAGTGTCACATTGTCACGATTAAAGGTCTGGAAGTAGTTGTTGTCTACGCAAAGACGCTTGGTAGCAAATGGATAATTCTGTGGAACTAAAGCTTCGACCACTTCAGGATTTTTGACAGTTTCACGGATCTTGTTGCGTACAAATTCAGCTGCTTCATTGTTAGATTCTTTGTTGAAGAAGAGATCATTGAAGGTTCCTTGAAAAGAAAGACCGCCAATTTGCCAACTTTTCTCGAATTCAGCTTGTCGTTCCTCCGGCGTAACATCCATTGCTGAGATATTCTTGCTGTTTTTGGGCATGTATCCCGAGCGCGTTTCTAAGATCTGTCGTCGATACTCAGCATAATTCGATTTCCACCATTGTTCGTATTCGGCTTCAAGGGGTCCATTGCGAGATGGAATGCTGAAATTTGGCGTTCGTTGAAATACAAAGACATGATCTGCTTGCTCGACCATTATAGGAATCCATTGCATACCAGATGAACCGGTGCCAATGACGGCCACACGGCGTCCAGTAAAGCAAATATTCG